AGACATATTAGTTATATCTTTCTATATACTGTATTTTATATAAATAGATAGCTTTTTAGACCATGTAAAAAGTAGGAATTTGACAAGTCAGTTTTCAGTAGTTTTTAAGAGGCAAACAGGCCTATTGTATTACATTTTAATTTCATACTTCGTTTTCTTATTTTCTTTTCTTTTCTCTTATCATACAGTAGCGATCATAAGTATCCGACCGGCTGTGATTGTCAAAAATTATTATATAACTACCCTTCAAATTTTCCAGATATTTAGCATAACATGATATCTGATTGCCAATACTTTTATAGTGATCAATGGCTTATTTTTAAAAAATTGGATGATCATCAAATTTGCATCTTGAAAAATGGAGCTTTCTCTTGAAAAATGCTATGAAATTATATTTCTATGTAAACATCCAGCTGGTCTAAGGTTCAGTTTTGGACAAATAGCTAAAGTGGTCCGCTGTGGTAAATCTACAGCTATTTTTTGGATTAAAAATATCATGAAAATCGTGACCTAAGTACTGTAGAAAAACCAAGTCGGCCTCGTATAACAATCGCAAAGCAAGATAAATGAATTACAAAGATGGCAGAGAAAAAACATAATATTACAGCCACTTAAATACAAAAAAATATGGAAGAATATAATATTAGGATTAGTGTAGAGACTGTCAGACGACGTCTTCGTAAATCTGGAGGTAAGTTTACTAATAAAATTTCTAAACCTTTGCTTACAGAAGCATATCAGAAGAAGCGGCTGCAATAGGCAAAAAAACATAAGAATTTTGATTGGAATCGAGTTGTTTTTACAGATAAGAGTATATTTCAACTATATACATCAAAAAAAAAAGGTTTGACAGTTTGGTGAAAGAAAAAAAGTGTTTCGTTCTGTCAAGCATCCACCAAAAGTTTATATTTAGGGGTGTTATTCTTCTTTAGGATTTGGTAAGTTGTATAGCTTTTAAAGGAACTTTAATGCTAATTTTATATGTACTATTTATGAGCAGGGTTTTCTGGCTTCTACTTTTAAGCTTTTTGGAGAAGATAACATAGATTAGATCTTGCAAGAGGATAATGATCCAAAACACTGATCAAAAATTGCAAAAAAATAGAAAAAAAAATGGTATTAAGGAACTTTCTTGGCTATCAATATCTCTGGATCAAAATCCTATAGAAAATGTGTGACAGTTAATGAAAATTAATATATAAAAAAAATCCATTCAGCTAGAGGTTTGAAGAGAGAATTGACAAAAGAATAGAACTGACTCTCACCTGAGCTTGTCGTAAAATTAGTAGATAGCATGAATCATTGTATAGCTATCCTTATAGATTCTAATGGGGATTTTATTATGTATTAAAAAAGTTTGTTTAGTATTGTATTTTTAAATAAAAAAAATTTTTTGATTTGCTTACCTGTATAAGGAGTTAAAGACGGTCAGATACTTATGACCGCTACTGTATCTTTTATTTTCTTTACTTCTATTTCTTATCTTATCAATAAACATCTTACTTGAAAATATAATTACTTGATACTTTGTGAATTGTTAATTGTGAAATACTTGTAAAAACCTTTATCTGAAACCTTTACCTAAATTTAGTTATGATAATAAACTTATAAAGTCTTAAGATTACTGTGCAATTGAAAAGAAATAACACTTCGACACCCTGTCTAATAGTTGTAGTTCGCAAGAATTACGTAATATAAATTTATATGTGATAGTATAAAGCAGTAATAGTAAATTATAAGGTCATTTGATTTGAAATTTATAATAAATAATAATAAGATTATTTCAAGATCATTTCAAGATCTTTTGTCAATCTTGGTATAAAGTATTAAATTTATAAAATATGGGTTTATTAATTTACCCTAGACTCTGATTGGTTGGTATAATTAATATTAATTAGATTAGAATTAGGGTTAGGGTTAGGGTTTAGAGTTTAGGTGATTTATCATTAACATGATACAGTAGTATTTCAATTTTTATTAAGTATCTGAGGTAAAGCCTATGGGTTTGTGTAAATTAAAATTAAAAAATTATGCATTTTAAAATTACTAAAAATGCAAAATATGCAAAAAAAAATTTTTATATAGTAAAAAAAAAGAAATTTCAATTTTATTGATTATTAAAAAATTCATCATTTTAGTAGAATTCTTCTGTACCTATTATTTAAAATTCTTTTATAATTAAAAAAATTGTATTTAACATTAACTTTTGAAATAGGTAATCATATATAAATTCAAACTATTTTGAAAGAATTCTTCCAATATTAATTTAAATTCAAATTATCCTTCTCAAAAAGAAAATTTGAATCCTTCAATAATCACTTGATATTATATTATAACCATTTTGTAAAAAAAAAAGAGGATGATCTATTCCTTAAATGGTAAATATAATATAAGGTCACGTGAAACATGCATGCAAAAAAGTGGATGCATGTGTTATACTTTATTTGTCATCCTCTTAATACATGACAAATAACTTAGTTACTTATACCAGCCAATCAGAGCCTGGGGTAAATTATAGATATTATCCAATTTTCCTATTTATTACTTAATTACAATGAGATCTGATTTTTAGATCGGTGCCAAACCAACTTCTTCAACAAGGGAGAATAGATTTCTGTTTTTACGTATTATTTTATCATTACTGTATCTCCGATAAAAAAAATTGTAATCAGAAGCCGAATTAATTATAATTGGTTGACTTAAAAGATCTACAAACCTGTTTCAAGTTAATAAAACCTTTTAAACTTGTATTTCTCTGACATTTAAATTATTAAAGCAATGACACAATTACCTTTACCACCAAAAGATTCACCTCAAAATGTAGTAGATGCTCAAGTATTATATGAACGTATAAAAACGATCGCTTTATGGTATTATTATAACACGTCTTTGTAATAGATATGCAGAGAAACCTTTCTAATTGTTCTCTATAAATGCAACTATTATACCGTACTTCCTATTTAATGAATCCCTGGCTCGGTCATAAGCTATAGGGTCCGGGCGCACCTGGAAAGGTTTCTCTGTAGCGCTTTAATATATCAATCAATTAACGCTTATTTGTGATTTATAGGTTAGATTCAATCCCTATAAATGGTTACAATTTGCCAATTGGCTTGGAAGCAATCTTTGGTCTTCTACCGGCAGTTGGTATATAGTTCGCAAGATATCAATCAAATGTTCATTCTACTAGCGAAATTTAACAATGTTCACATTTTATAGGTGATATTATTGGATTGGTGTTGGGAATGTATCAAGTTTATTTGACAAGTTTCTTTGATATTCCAGCAGGTCTTTTGATGAGAATGATTATGCACGTTTTAATTGATTTTATTATCGGAATTTTACCCTTCGTTGGTAAGAGTCAGTCATTCATATTTTCAATATATACTTCATTCATTTCTAATATTCTAATTATGCTCTTTTCGTTGAAATAACTTTAGGTGACCTTCTTGATTTCTTTTATAAATCAAATATTTATAATTTGAATCTTCTCGAAACTTGGTTAAATGAGAAATATGGAAGTCGTATAAAAGTACAAAATAATGATCGTGGAAATAAATATCAACGTACTCGTAATTATTAACAAATTTAGCGTCATCTGTATAATTTTTTCATTTATTTATTTTGAAATAAATAAAATATAACCTTAATTATCAAATGCTTGTCTCTCGAATTTTACATTTTCCAAGCTTCGTCATTACTCATTGTTTCGAGCATGCTTTGGTAACCACCGTTTTTTACCAACGCTCGCTTTTTGAAACCTAAAATTGCATTGTAGTAATCATATTGATCGTTTCCTTTTTTTGGTCTAGTTAATTTCTTGGCAGTTAATAATTTATCCGCGATGTAGTGAAGCCACTACGCTTTTAATGTTAGTTTTGAAAAGAAAAATAAAAAATAAAAGTCGCACGATAAATTAAAGATTTGAATTTGTTAATACTTACGAATACATTGGTTTTTGGCCAGAAAGATTTCCAATCGCCTTTAGTTTCTTCTCGCATCATACGGTAGATATCAAATTGATAATCGCCTGAAATCATGTGGATAAGTTTCATAATTTTCAGAGTATAACATTAAAGATGTTTCTCACCTTTCCCGATAAAATATCCTTCGTCAACTATATCCACGTGGATAATTTCATCTCCTAAATTAATTTGAAATAATGTTTAATAGATAGAAAAGGATCAAATTATCAATTTAAAAAGCTAAACAAACCACGTTCCATCCGAGATAACGTATAGTCTATTATACAAGCCCGCACTCCAAAAGTTTGAATTTCAACACTTATGTTAGCTGAGGGCAAGTTATATGACACAGATTTAACCTTAGTTTGTTTGATCGTTATATTTCCCCAATGAAGATCACGGTGCTCAAAATAAAGATAAAAAAGATTGTTTAGATATCAGTTCGCATTAAGTAGATTAGCGTATAAGAAACAAACGAAACAATCATACTTCGAAATTTAACGACTAAAAGAAAAGGTATAAGATAAGAATTTTTTATTAATCAATGATTAAAAATGTATAATAAAATCCTACCTGTTCAGCCTGTGCTATACTCCATCCAACTTGTGTTAAGACACTCCAAGCTTGTGCCCAATTTTTTAATTTGATATGTTCAAGATCCAGGCCTCCGTATTCAACAATTAACACGGCATAAATCTGTTTGTCATCAAAATAATCTTTATAATATTGCAAATACATTAGAATTATGTCCTTCACCAATATAAGAAATAATTAATTATATTTTTATAAAGACCTGGACGACCGCTTTCTGACTTATATGCTTTATCCCACCGATCCCATTCTTTTAATAGGGCTTTAGGATATTTACCACGGCAAATACCAATTCTTTTAATGGATAGAAGTGAATATAATTGATTAAGGTTGTTTAGAGTCAATCAAAAGTCATAAAAACTTACCCATGTAATTTTAAGAAACCAACCCTCAATTTTGGGTCAAGACCGGTTTTTCCTCCCAATTCTAACGTGGTTTTGATCTCTTGAGTTATATCTCTTATACTACATTGTTCCTCACCATTCACCAATATTTCTTTTCCTCTTCCAAATGGAACAATCTTGAAGACACATTTTGCTTTTGTAGCAGTAAACTTTGGCGCGTATGCTGTGAATACTTCAGAAAAACTTGCTTCTCCAATTTTCATGGCATTATTAAGACAACTTAAGAGACCTCGAAATATGAATATTAATATAAAAATTCAAATATTCCAAAAAAAAAGAAGATTCCACTCACTCCGTGCCAAAAAATTCTTCAAAAGTCCATAACTGCTTTTGGTCACAAATCCTCAATAAGTTTGTTAGTTCGTGCAATTCATTCCTATCCTCTTTAGCAGGTTTATCAATCTCAGCTTTGTAATCCAATATAAAATTTTGTTCTAATTTCTTGGAAACCTGATTATTTAAACCGATTTCAAAGTCATTATGACCGATATCAACGTTCTCCTTTTCATTAAAAGTATTCGGATCTTTTAATGGCGTTATAATAACTTTGCATAATGATTCACTACAATGGTCGTAATCTTTGGACGGTGAATGATATTTTTTTTTAAATTGCTTTTGTGACATTGACAACTGGGTTTTATTTATTGACTTGTTAGGAGACAAGGTGCCTTCTTGGATCATATTCTTTTTGGATATGGACCGGCTTGGCGAAACGTTTTCTATTTCGTGTGCACGGGAAGTCTCATTTGCAAGGTTTACTGATTTTGGTGAGAGTCGAATGGGCGAAAGATAATACTTGGGTTTTGTGAAACCCTTCGTGAACGACTTCCGCTTGGCTGGTTTGATTTCCGTACCTTTAGTAATAACAAAAGAGTGTTGAGTTGTAGAGTTTTTATTTACTTTAAATTTAGATATTCTATCTTTCTCCAAGGAATTCTCTGTATCTTTAGTTGAAGTTCCTTCTAATTCTTTATCTATTTTATGATTCCAAGTATGAATTGTAATAACGCGTTCGTTGGATTTCTTTCCATAGGTTCTAATAGTTTTTGTTGTAGTTCCAAGAAGGTTCATTTTTTTTTATAAATAACAATAAATAAAATTTATGGTTTATGTAAAACGCGGAAAAATAATATAGAGGAACAATGCATATGTATTTAACCATTTATATTTATAGTAAATAAACCGATTCCAAATTAGGTCATGTGGTAAGGGAATAACTTGTCATGTGGAAATCTACTATATCTATCTACTATATCTACTACCATCCATGAAATCGACATGAATTATTTATACCATTATATTTGAATTTGAAATATTTTAATATTTGAATATCTGAATTAAAAGTATTTTATCCTGACAATGAAAAGTACAACTGGAGAGCAATATATTCGTACATTAGCCCAATATATTCGTTCTAATGAAAGGAGGTTAACAACGACTAACTCACCTTCACCCTCATCAGGCCATTTATCTGGCCATAAAAGATCTGATAGTGGAGGTGGTAGTTTCTCAATGACGAACTTATGGTCTTTTTCCGCTGCACTAACAAGTTCTTACTTGAAACCAACAACTTCAACAGCATCGACAACTCCAACTTCACCACCAAGCTCAGTAAATAACCCAAATAAAATTTTGGTGACCCTTGATCCTCATCATTTATATTATTTGCTGGCAAGGTTTAGTGATTTAGGATTTGATGTTGGTGCTTTTGAAGCTGTTGTTGATTTCAAACGGGGTGATGGTGAAACTCTCGACATTGATATTAAAGATCTAGAAACTTCATCAGTTACTTCCTCAAATTCTATTAGCTCAATGTCTTCCGCGATGTCTTCCCTTTCATTATTTTCGGGATGGCAAGGGTGGTATTCTGCCGCTCAAAAAAACGGAATAGTTCCTATTAATCAGGAATTACAATACATTTATCGTTCATTTATAAAGCTTACCGGTCTAAAGCTTGCGATCCTTAATCAAAAGAAAATAGATGGTTATGAGAATTGGCCAAATGGTGCAATGTTATCCATGAACTTCTTTAAAAATTTGACACATTTGGAAATTTATGGACTATCACCAAAATTGTTTGATGGATGGGATATTTTACAAGAGAAAGTAGAATCCTTATCTTTACAGCAAGGTTCAATTGATGATATTTATGAGTTATTTGTTGATGCAGTTGTTGATAGTATGAAAAGACGAAAACTAAATGACAATAAAACTATAACAAATTATGGTAAAGTCTCAAAAGAGCCTCAAGATTTAGTTGAACAACCAAAAGCTAGGGATCTTAATGATTATTCACCAGATAGTATTTTACCACAAAGAATTTGGCAAAATCTTAAACAAGTCTATCTTTCTAATAATTCACTTACATTTGTTGCTAGCGAACCATTAGCTTACATTAATAAAGTCACTCATTTGGATTTATCACAAAATTTACTCATTGCTGTTCCTTCTGGTTTATCTCAACTTTATAACTTACAATATTTAAATCTTAGTAACAATATGATCGAGTCCGTAACGGGGATTTATAAAATGCTTAGTAATATCACAAGGTTGGAATTACAAAATAACCGAATTGAAAATTTGTGCGGCCTTGAACGATTATGGTCTTTAGAATATGTAGATATTAGAGAAAATAAATTAACGGATTGGGCTGAAGTTGGTCGAATGACGGAGCTACGGGAAATAATGCAGATTTACGTTGAGGGAAATCCTTTTACAAAATTTCAGGTTTGTTCAATTTTTAAATTAATACGATGACGAAACTTTTGCATTATTTCGTGGATTCATTTATTGTATTTTTAATTGATATGCATTAATATTGAATTAATTTTTTCTCAAAAAAAAAAAATTTGTTTTTTCATTTCCTTCACAAATTTGATATCTTTAGCCCCATTATCGAGTAAGCATATTTACTGCTTTTCGTGAAAATGATAAGGATATCATCTTAGATGGTACAGCTCCTAGCTATAATGAACGCCGTCAAATTAACGTGTATCCACAATCTTTACCAACAAGTCAAAAGGATCCTGAAGCCGTTCTAAGCAATGATGCGATTATACCTAGTTGTGTATTATTATCAGATGAACAAAAACCAACTATTCCCGTATTGAAAACAAAAAAGAGTCGCAAATTTCATAAAAGAGTTGTTAATTTGGATGGAAATGACGCATACAACAGTGGAACAGATGGATCTGATGTAGCAAGTATTAAATCATCAAAATCTAGCAATGAAAAGAAAAAGAAAAAGGGAAAATCGGCTAAAAAATCATCCAAGACTGAACCTATCCCGATTAAAGATATTTCAATGTTATCCGGGGATGAGTATAGACGTAAAATAGAAGAATTACGCACCGAAGGTGGTTCAGCATGGTTAAGAGTATTAAGCGAAATGGAATATGATAAAAGTGGTGCTGATAGGTTAAGAGAACCACCAAAATTGAAAACGATAGTAGATCAAATGATATCGACTAGAGATCGAGCATAAAAAAAGTTTTTTTTTGCCTTAAATATAATTTTTGATCCTCATGGTATGATTTTGTACAATTAGCTATTTGTATCTTTAATAGAGACTGGAATCGGTCAATTTAACTAATCAATTATACATAGTAAAGTAGTCAACCATACATAGTCGATTCCAATCTCTTTTTTTTTAAAAAAAAAAAATTGCATGTATGCAAATTCTCTCAATTTGTATTCGCATTCATATATATTTACATATATGAAGATGTATATTAGTTTTTTTTTTTTTTGGCGAAAACCAGTCATGAAGGGTTTCGAAAGATTTTGAACTAGGATGAAATATTTTTGGGTAATCAGATGTTCTCCTGAAACTTTTGATAAATAGATGCGGTATTTCATGGAGTATATACTTTTTAAAAGACTATTTATTTATATTATTTATAATCAATTATCAATTTTAACATTTTTCAGAATATAATTGTGTTTTTTCTTGTCAAAATCTTTTTATTTGTTAGACTTGTGCTTTTATTAAATCACTTTCAAAGATCATACGATCGATTCATTTTCACTTGTTCTTAATTTTAGAGGTAACTGAAATAAGATTAAATTAAAAAGTGACGATAAATTTTCTGAACAAGTAATTAAAAGATTTACTAGATAATCAATATTTATTCAATTGAAGGTTTTTTTAGAAATTTTTATTAAGCAAATATAAAATATACTTGTTTTTTTTAATTCAATGTCAAAATACAATAGCAAATAACCGCAACATAAAAATATATATATATACTCTCGCACAATCTAGAAAATCAGATTTTCACTTTGGATACTCGATTCTCTTGACTTATTAATGCAAATAATCTTCATTAGAAATACCAATGAAAAATGGCCTATTCCTCTTTTTTAAGATGTCCGGCGTAAGATCTAGCTTTCTCATAGATCCCACCAGTATGTTGCTTTGCCACTTTTAAGCCACTAATAAAACAAATTTTTAAATAAGTTATATATAACAAAATAATGAAACGTGAAAGATGTGTTTGTTAATCTTACCGATCCATTTGAGTGTGTAAAATCTTGTTGAAGTGATCCAATTTTTCGTCAACAAGTTTTTTGTTTTTCTGATATCCTATAGGAGCAGCGAAGCCAAGAATAAGGGCTGTATATAAAGAAAAGAATAAAGGTGACAAGTGTCAATTAAAAATATCATGATCTTTTCTTGAGAGTATAAAATCATACCTATTCCAGAAAATGTTCGGAAGCTAATCCAACAACCTAAAGTCCATAATCCATAAAAGATAAAAACATACTATGCTCAAAAATAAGATAATATTTATTAGTAATCTGAATTTATAAGAACGATCAGAATATCGTAAATTAAGAAACAACGTACTTTGATCGTTCTCAATGGATCATCAACCAAAACGATCTTTTGAATTTCTAGCAGTGAAAAGTTGATTGCTTCGATTGTGAAATCTAAATATTTTTCAACTTTTTCGCGTTCAATATGCCATGGTTTTTCTGCCAGAATGTTTCTAACATTAAATAAAATCATTTCGTCAATCAAAAATAAAATAAAAAAAAGATAAATATAATTTGAATACATACTCATACGGATTGACAGGTTTTTGGTTGAGTAAGGAATGTAATTGTTTTCGACCATTTACATAAGCCCAATTCGCTCCTATCAAAGTAACGGCTAATGCGCAGAATGTGTTGAACAAGGAATAGTATGAAGTGAAAATCAAGAATGATAAACCAGCTAACAATACAATTGCGGAATTTGTAGGATTTTCCCAATAGACTAGATTTTTAACTAATGGCAAAATGATCATAGATGATATTAAAATAATTAATATACAAAGATTTTTAACGATAATGAATCTCTCTATTTCCAGAGTATATGAAAGATTTACCTCTAGAAGTTAAAGTATTAAATGGACCTAATTGAAAATTTTTGGTAAAAAAAAAATTTATTTAGAAAATTTCTCTCAATTTATATGATCACGTGTACTACATTAGATCAAAGTGTTATTTCATACTTTTGGTTATCCTCTTTGACGAAGCTTCGGTCTTTTTCTCATTACTATTTACAACATAAGTCTGTCGCAACTTGGGTGAAGTGGGAGAAGCGGCAGAAGAGGCGGAGGAGGTAGGGGAGGAGGAGGAGGAGGAGGAGGAGGAGGAGGAATGTTCTTGTACTGTTTCTTTAGGAGCTTGTTCTTCAGAATTAGCAGAAATTTGCTGCTCTTTAGACGTTTCTTGAGTGGTATCCATGTTTATCGTTTCTTTAATTGATTCAGGTATAACTGAAGAAATCGATGCCATAGTTAATATGATTTTATTAGCGTATTTGATAAATTGTAATAAACGAAATAAAAAAAATTTTTTTTTTTTTTTAGAAAAAATGAGCGGGGAAGTACCAAATTTATTCTTTTTTTAGGGTTCATAAAAGGTTTATAACAAAGAAACCAATTTTTTAAAGTACAAACTTACTTTGTGAACACAATACTTCTATAACGAAAAAATCAAGTTTCTCAACTTGAACTAGATAAGGATTTATTTGATATATATGAGAAAGATCCTTTGATTGGATAACTAAAGTTTAGTTTGAT